TGAACAGAAGTTTCACCGGGGCAAAAATCCTAATGGCCAACAAACATATGAGAAAATGTTCCTGATCTTTAGCCATAAGAGAAATGCAAATTAAAACAACAATGAGGTACCACATAGATAGCCCAATTCAAAATATCTGAAAGATATTTTGGGACTGGGGGAGACAGGAACTCTCATCCATTGCTGGTGGACCTGTAAGTATGTACAACCACTATGGAAATCGATCTGACGATATCTAAAATAGATGGAAATTGAGTTACCATACGACACAGCAAGCCTCCTACTTGGCATATACCCAGAAGAGGCAAGAAACAAACCAAAGCCCAACATCTGTGCTCCAATGTTCATCGCGGCACAGTTCACAATTGCAAGGAGTTGGAAGCGACCCAAATTTCCATCAACTAATGAGTGGATTAAAAAGCTGTGGTATATACATAAAATGGAGTACTATGCAAGCTAAAAAGCAGTGATGAACGTATGAAGCATATCACTGCATGGGAAGAACTGGAGGAAATCATGCTAAGAAAAGTAAGTCAAGCACAAAAGGACAAGTACAACATGAGTACACTGAGGTAAGCTTAAAAAATGCAAAAGGGGCATAAGGAAAGAGGTACTGTATACAAATATTCCTGCGGTGAGGACCAGGTAATATGGCAGCGAGCAGACCAAATACAGGGATACACATTGTAGACAACTAAAAAGGAGGTGGGGAAAGGAAAAAAAACAATAATAAAAAAAAGAAATGATAGTGGGGGCACAGGGCACAAACCCACCCAAGGGGAGGGTATATTTTTTTATATCTCCACAGGGAAAGAGAGACTAGACTTGGACCAGTGCTCCAAGATCTGAATGCTACATGCCGGCATAGACTAGGGAACCAGTGGAGAGGTCTTTGGGGCTGGCCCCAATCCCAACTACTAAGTGGACACCAGCCCCTCCCCTGAGAAGAATTTATGTGAAAGGATGGCATTGAATCTGCAGTTCTAGGAAAGGGACATATCAGAGCACACAGGAATAGATGAAGGGGGAGGGGGAGAGAGTGGAGCACATCCTGGCCCACCAGGCTGTGAGGACAACATTCCCAATTAGAGCAGCCAGTCCATAGAGAGTAGCACATGAGACATGACGCCCCTCACAGACCCATAGCCCAACAGAGGACAACACCCAAGACATAATGTGGGAATTGCATCCGATCTGATCCCTCCACACCGAGGCAAAACACTAAGGGGGTGCAACAGA